CCCCCCCCCCCCCCCCGCATGATAGAAAACAGTCTCCTTATTTAACTGATTCTGTTGCTCATGTCAGCTCTGCTGTATGAAATCGGACTGTCCTCTTATGTTTCTCTGAAAAAACAAAGGAAGTGGTCATACTTGTTTCAGTTCAGTTTCATTATGTCACATTTCCTCATTGCTGAGTTTCGCTGATTATTGCACTGTTAACTATCAAAAAAAAGAATTCCCTCCCTCTACTTAGAAAGATTTTATAAAGCAAGTTGACATAAGGGTGTGTTTTTCACAGCATGAGTCCTTTCTTAACTCCTTCGGAAGAACAGATGAAAGTAAAGATTTTGAAAATAGTTGCCCTTTTAAGTTATATGAGGTCAGCAGAAAGCCATGTCTGGAAAGAAGAAGACTAATTTTTAACTAAATTTCTGAACTAAATCATCAGTTTTTCACTTTGGAGACATCTCTTCCCCGTTGGAAAATTTAACTCCTCGAAACAAATGTTATCAAATTTGAACATCACAGAATATGAGGCTTCTTCTCTTCTCACTAACACTTTATTATGGTCTAAGAATCTCACAAGTAACACTTAACTAAGTGACTCAAGTACCGCATTTCAGTTGTCTTTGACCTTAAATTATACAGCCATTGGTTTGTGGACAGTAACCGGGTTCTCAGACTGGAACACAGGCTTGTGGTTTGCTGTTTAGTTTCATGTACTGATCCGTAAACACAGAGTTATCTACGGCTTTAAGCATCATCCTTGTGTATTTATTTTAGAGCAAAGGTATTAAAACAGCGCCTGGTGATGACAAATATGTTCCTTTGTATAAAGTAAAGTAACAAAAGTTTTGACAGAGAGAATGGCTTGAATGTAATGACTCTGAATCTAAAACGTGAGTGAAACAGACAGACAGAGACAGAGAGACAGACAGAGACACAGACAGACAGACAGACAGATACAGACAGACAGAGACACACAGACAGACTGACACAGACAGACAGACAGATAGACACAGACAGGCAGACAGACAGACAGAGACAGAGAGACAGACAGAGACACAGACAGACAGAC